TAATCCAAATTCTTCACGTCAGTCGCGCGATTTCCCGAATCGCCGACTAGTAAAATGTTTTGTATCTTTCTGACACGATGGAATTGTCTTACAGTAAATTTAATTTCACACTTTAGGATTATGACACATTCGTGCAAAACTTGACGCGTTTTGTGGAACATAAACGATCACCGACAGGGATATGATTACACTGGAATGTTGTAAGCCACTGAATATCCCGTGGAGATGTAGGACTAAAAGTTCTACATCTCCACGGGATCCCAGGTCTGTTTTTTGGTTGCTAAGAACGTCTGGCTCGTTATGGAGTAAGCTGTACCAGTACCATTACCTTTCAGTGAGTGAACAAGCTAAATTATAGTCATAACCGCATGAGATAATTGATAAGCAACAGCACTGACCACCGAGGTCAGTCGACGAGCCTGCTTATACATCCAAGAACGTTGTTTAAATTTTCACCTTTAAATTTAAAATTGAAGAATATTGAGGTTCAAAATTTCCAATTGGACGCCATGCTAGATTATTTTAAAAACAAAATTCCACAAGAGAGTTACGACATCGTTTCGTGGCTATACGTATCTAGTAAAATGCAGCAACCGATTGAACCCTATTCCGCAGGGCCGTATTGGGAATTCTCTTATGAGAATGACGTCATCTCTTTGAAAAATCCGCCATCTTGCATCCGCCATTCTTGATTTCAGGATGTTCAGAAAACGTTACAATATCTCCAAAATTCATTTCTTTCAAGGAAAACAAAGACAAAAGTTGAAAAATTATAACAATATATGTAAAAACGTTTAGGATATTGGAAAGAACTTTGTAATCTAAAGCTAAAGTTTGTATCCAGTTAACGGACGTTGTTATTTGTTTTCAAGAAGCTACGCAAAAATGTCTTAGCTTTTTGTATTACGCTGTATTGCAAAATCAATGAAAGTAGTTTTGTCTTTCTCGAACGGTTCAGATTTTAAAGAGACAATCGAAGTTATTTTGCGATGTTTTTGACTCCCCCGTTTGTTTAGGCAGCAAAATGATCGTCTTTTTGCCAGATTGGATTCCTAATTAACTATACATCTATGTTTTATATATCTTGAGATATTTGCTTAAAATGCATGAATAAAATTAACTAAAATCTACTTCGCATTTGCGGTAAGACACTTTTCCTGCCCTCCCTCCTTTTACTTTGACACCCTATATAGTTACAGATTTAAAGAAAACTGCTTTCAAAGCATTTTGAGATTAAAAGAAAAATGAGCTGCCATTTATCTCATTGTCACTAATTTTTGCGGGCTCGTAATTTTGCAGGAACAACAGAGACAAATTTTGCGTGATATGTTTTCTCGATTTCATAATAACAAGAACTAGATGGAATTAAATTTCACAAATGTATCACCAATGTTTAATTTGGTATTCATTCATCAATTAAAAGTACTATCAACAGAGATAGCATATCTTGAGCAACAACATATAACAAAACTGTTTCAAGCTCGTTGAAAGTTGAGATAATTTAGACGATTAATTTTTCAAATGTTTTAAGGCACAATCAAACCTCTCTTTTCGGCCCCTCCATAATACAAATACCCCTACATGTATGTTACGTTTCGGATGATTCGAATTCAGTGGTCCCAGAGATACCTGAATCCGTGTACTCTTTATATTTTTAGTACAGACACCTATGTAATACGGCTCAGGGCTACTCCGTCTGCTCCACCCCTCCCCTCTGGTTTTCCTATTAAAGAGGTTGGTCGTATTGAAGTCAGTCCATGGCTCTTAACTATACCACCCCTCCTCTCTACGTTCTGATGAACGCAAAAACATAAATATAAGGGTTTTTTAATCTAGCTTTATCTGGCTTTTATCTGTGTTTTAGCGATGGGCCGAGCGAGCATGAGATGTGAAGGCAACATAGTCAGGTTTTAATCACCCTCTCGTAAGAAAGGAATGAAACTCTGCTATCGAGAATGAGTTAGTAAGAGATTTATAATTCCTGTTTATATTTGAACCATCATAAGAAAAATAAACATCGGTCTCATTAGACCGAAAAGCTCAGCAAAACCACGTGGACACCTTCAGCACAGACATCTTTTTCTGGGTTTAAGACATTTGAGGAAGGTTTTTTTTTATTATTATTTTGAGGAAGCTATAAGTGTTGTTTTGGCGAGAGCGGTGCTTTCGACTATTGTGAATTTAAGTTTCCAGGCATTGAACCAATCCTTAAAACAAGTTCACAAACGCTTGCCTTAGGTTCAGCCGATATTTTGTGTTAATAAATGTCTGCAAAAACCTGTCGAATATTTAATGATAAAACTCACATTTGGCCGCTTTATTGGTCAAATAAATGATGTTCCTACTTTTGTAAATGCGTATTCAAATGATCGATTTCAATTATAAATCGATTGGTCTTAACGGGACAAAGTGATATTAATGTACATCGCTAATTTCATTAGTTTGATTGATATTCTAAACTGAAAGTTATAAATAAGTCAAAGCAATTTATGCAAGGCCATAAATTATAATACTTATAATAGCTGCATTTTAAATCTTAATATACAAAGAATACATAATTATAATATCTCAGTCTAATTTCGTATGTTACGTTACCGTCGTCACACAAGTAACTTTTTTTTTTATTTTGATCAACACCAATTAGGATACCACTGTAAAGCAATAATATGAAGAATTTATTGTACATGTACATGTATTTGTGACTAAAACAGCCCTGCAATCTGAATTACGTATTTCAAAATATTGTACATTGAAAGTCTTATTAGTGTGAATAAATACAACTCTCTTACATCAATCGATTGGTGCCTAGGGTAGTGAAACAATAGCAGATATATAAAACGCAAAATATTTCGTCATTTTATTGAACTTAGCAACAACGTTTGAAAGTATCGCTATACATTTCAAATAAATTCAAATGTGAACTAGATTCTGATATGTGTAGTAAACACAAGAAGTAAAAAGACGAAAAAAACAAAATATTGTTATCACTTGCTAAGTGGTTCTTTTGTGATCAAGGTTTGTTTCATTTCAATGCGGTGATATCACGCCACGATTAAGGTTATCGCACGCTTAGCTGGGCGACAATACTAATGATTGTTCTTAGGCCCATAATCCAAACTTGTATATTTATGGACATTACCACTTATTAAAGATTCATAACCTTGCGGGAAGTATCTGCTGGTTCTTTCGCAAGACGCAAAGGGGATAGTCGCATATGCCAAGGACTGCTTTAATTTTACCAACGATTTCGCGTTTCATCGTTTATTGAAATCGTGATAGAAAGCTAAAGATTGTTTGCTAAAGGAAAGGTGAAGAGGAAGGCACGCTTTAAAAAGGTAGGCAACATGAAAAAATATACTGGCAAATGTCTTCCTTGACATGGGATTTGTAGCACGGCAGGTTATGTCCGCTATTTCGCTAAATGAGTTTAACATTTCAACCTTTAACATGATTCCAAATCACAATATTTCCGAAATTCTGGGCTCTTGATGAGAAAAATGAGGGATTTCAAACACAAGAGGATTTTAATTAACGGGACACATTACAGGAAACTAACTAGAATTCCGTTAAAAGTTGTTGACAGGTGCTTCTATTTTTTCACACACACTGAAAAATAGAATTGAGTATCACAGCCATACCCGAATATGAAGTGGAAAATACACTGTTTTATATTTTTGAGCATTTTGTAATCTCTCTCTGGAGTATCTTTGTTATGGCAAGCGGCTCGCATACAAGCGATACTATTGGACAACGAGTGGTAACATTTTCAAAACAGCTGAGATACACACACAAAAATGATAACAAATGCGAATTATTTGGGATACTGGGGTCGGCATGGAAGTGACGTCAACTGCGAAAGATAATTGCACTACAGCCCGCCGGCGAGGGCAATGATAATCACGTTGAACTCAGAATTAAAATGTAAATTTCGAGACCTTAGAGTTCGTCCGGGTTGATAAGAAAAATACTAAGGAGGTCGTGCGGAAAAGAAGTAATTATTTAACGCTTTAGTCACGAAGTGCTTTGTTACTGTGACTGGTGAAGTCATATAGTCCGCGTGGCCGATGAAAGCTTCTGATCGTTGCCGTTGGCAATACACTCAGACCGTATTCTGGCAATTTTCACTATACTAAATTTTGGAATACGAAGCGAAGATGAGAAACACTCAAACCAGGTATGATAATCAATCAGTGAATAGGCTCCACGAGGCAATTTATCAAATATTTAGTCTGGTAACTGATGTTTTTATATCTCCTTTCAGGTAGTCGATTCGTCCTGTGGCAGAAAAATAAAATATCATGTGGTTTCGAAATTCACCTCTCAGTGGAAAGTAGGACAACTGAGCGCTGATCAGGCCAGAAGGGAAAATGTCACCTTTGAGAAACAGTCTTGCCTTTCTGTTCATCTTGGTCTGTGTAATTCAGGAACAGCAATCGCGCACTAAAGGTACGTGCTAAATAAAAGGATTCAACTTTCCCAGCGAGCGTAAAGATATAACGAAACTAAGTTAGAATAAACGAGGTTTAGTCACAAATTTCAAAAATATGGCATATTCGATAGGTCGGTTCGAAGTGTTATAAGCTGCTTTAAGCGACACAAGCCTTCGTAAATTAACAAGGAAAAACCTTATTACAAACTGGAAAAGCCGTTCGACAACCTTAACATAATCTATAATATTACCGATCTGTATTTTGAAGTCTAATTATTTCAATGAGCCAGGTTTTTCAGTTAACGGCATTCGAATGGTTATGTGTTTTCTGAACATTACTTGTAATACATAAATTTCACTCCTATTCAATTTATTACTTAACAGAAAATAAAGTGTTTGAATTAACCGATGTCTGTGACCGCGTATTCTAGAATCTGCAAAAATATTATGCAAATGTATTTCTCTAATGTTTGTGAAAGCAACACCCTTAAACAATGGGGAATGTGACTGAATTTAATAAACAGGAACTTTTGGAACCTTAAATTTTGGTCAATACTCGCTTTCAAAGCGAACAGATCGACAAGATTCGCAGCAACATAGATGGAAAACAAGACATATAAAAGCAGACAGTTGTAATCATTTCACTCTTTGAAATGTACCGAGCGACTTCAATGCTAAGCTAATTGCAGTATTCTTTTCTGAGGAAGAAAGCTTTTGTGCATAAAATTACGGAAGCGAACCGAAGTCGGGTTAACAACCAGAATATTGCCTACCGGTTTATATAACATGGCATAGAAAAAATTTCTATCTCACTGTTTTGAAAACAAGATGCTCGAAAACTTAATGAGCTAGGCCGAACAATTTTCTTATGGTGTGGCAACGAGTCCGTTTTCAGTCTCTAAGTTATCGATTCAATCGCGTGGCTAACGGCACAAGGAGATAATTGTTTTATTTCAGACTTTTGTTTTACATTACAATGGGAACAAATGCCAGACAGTACCATGGCGTGATATTCGCTTGCGAATACGGGTGACTGCGGACGTTAAAGACTATATGTAAAGTTTATGCACCTTCACAGCCATCTTAGTTTTCTGTTGGCTGTTGTCACGACAGAAAGGAAAGATTTTAAGACAAAACGTAACACTGTATGTTTTTTGAATTGTTTGAAGAGTTAAGTCAAATTTTAAACACACACGAGATTTACTTTTGGTCAATTGTCATTCATGAAATGACATCAAAAAAGCTAGACCTATTTTGAAAGATATACATGGAAATATTCACCGATTCAAGGTAAACTGTGGTTATTCAACGCTGTGCATGACCCTCTGCGAGCCTTTGCAAACTGCGTATACAGCTGTTTCGGGAAAGCCGGGTTGTCGGAATAAAGCGTAAAAGAGCATGCGACAACCCGAAAGTTAGTATGGGTAGAAATAGAGAGCTGCAATACGCGTTGAATGCTCAATCAGATATAACGACTTGGCAAAAGTCATTTTTTTAATGTTTTCTTTTTCTTCNCCTGTTTTCAATAGCTGTTTCGTTTATTAAAAATTGTTCGTTTCGCTCATATAAGTTCATTAAGGTCGACGAATAAGACACATTCTCATGAAAGCTTACCACATTAACATGAGATTTACTCATTTGCAAGTCCCTTTCCAGCAAACAAATACACATCACCTTGTCATTTTTAACGCCTTGACGAGTCAAATGCTCGTGAAATTCAGCCCTCAAGTTGGCCATAGTACTAATTCGAACATTCGAAGTCAACTCTACTTCAATTTAGCCAAAGACCTAATATTAGTGGTCATGCAAAAGCTACAAAATCATCATTCGGGCTGGCTCGATGCACACATTGAGTGGTAACCACGCAAACACGATAGCGAGGCTAACACTGACTGCACGGTTACTATTCCAATATGGCTTCGGGCTCGGTTACTATTCCAACATGGCGTCGGGCTCAGGCGCTCTCGTTCGGCCCGACTAATTACGAACAGTGTCTACACCTGTGTGAGTGAGTGAGTGACACATTTGCATATCGGGGTCCCCGCAACAAACACGTTTCTACGCTTCGCCTATCCACGAGTTTAAAAAACGGTCTTATGAGTTTTCATGTGTCTAATTAACAAATCGAATGTGGTTTAGCGTGGTCTGTACTCTTATCGACAACGATATGCGTCATCACAGTGGTCAAAATGCTGTGGACTCACGAGGCGCAGCCGAGTGAGTCTATAACAAATTTAGACCACTGTCATGATGACGCGTATCGTTGTCGATAAGAGTACAGACCACGCTAAACCACATTTCGATTTGTTTTTACTACAATATTCAACGTCAAGGGAAATGTTTTTTTCAGCGCCTGGACTCTTATCGACAACGGCAAATTAGCCAATCAGATTGCAAGATTAGAAGCAATTGTGGTAAAATGTATCATTGCTTATACTTCCCGAGCAGGAATGCAAATTTGAACATTTCCTCTAGATATGCAATATATATATATATACATATATATATATACATATATATATATATATATATATATATATATATATATATATAAAACCAAGACTACCATTCAGTCTTGTCGCGTAGGCTTGACTCTTTCATCCGACGACCTCTCTCGAAAAAGCTCTATCGCGCAGGACGCCTTGTTGTGAAGTGTGCGACGTTGCTCAGACTCAGCTTGAGAGTCCACAGTTCATACAAATACACATCGGTTTTATTCCCTGCTCGCACAACTGACTTTCGATCTTGCAACCTCGTGCTCTTACAATAGAACAAAGCATTACCACATTGGCATCAAGACTGCATATAAGGTAACAACACTACAAAGTGCAACCTAGCCTCTGTATGGAAGCGAGGTTTGGGCTGACGTTGTGATCAGATCAAACTAGTTAGCACGATAAAAGAATAATTTCCATTTGAAAGGTAGTAAGGTTTGCATGATAGAAGTCAATATAATCTCGCTTCCGTTCAAAGGCCTGACCGCAACTACCAAACTGTAAAATGGGCCATTTAAGAGCATCGTATAATATTGATAATAACTGAATGTTGGTTAAATGCCGTTTAAAAGCCACCACACCCCGCGCGCAACTGCTCCCTCGTACTTCAGAGTTTCTCAGGACACTCTTATTCCACTTTGTTTAGGGTGTTCAGCTAATTGTTCTTCTTTAACCATTACTTGTTTTGTAGCACAAAATCTGAAACCTTCCTTTGACACCGCCCAGAGTCGTCTTATTACAGTGTATGAGAATGCAACCGTGGGTAAGTCTCTCTTTTCTTTTGTTTCGTTTTCTTGAATATAACACGTGATAACTTTGTCGAATACAGGGATTTCGAACTGTCCGTATCAGAGAGGTGTTCGTAAGGAGACGTTCGACTGTATTTCTCTTTTCTAAATTTATTTGCATTTCTTAATGTACTTTGTGTCCTCAATAAGTAGGTTCTCTGTAGTGATGGTCAGCTAGTGGTTTTGACACTGCAGACGGATATAAATAAAGTTGTTGATTAATTAACTGACTTATTGATTGATTGACTGACTGACTGACTGACTGATTGACTGATTGACTGATTGACTGATTGACTGATTGATTGATTGATTGACTGACTGACTGATTGATTGATTAATTAAGCGATTGATTGATTGATTGATTGATTGTGGACACATTTAGTTAATCTTGTCGTTCTCGTCTAGTTTGCCCAAATCCATAAAATATTTCCATTAATACAGCTCTTGTCAATAGATTTTAATTCATCCAGTGGGTAACACCATCTATCCTTTATGGACTGATTGACTGATTGATTGACTGACTGGCTGACTGACTGACTGACTGGCTGACTGACTGATTGACTGATTGACTGATTGACTGATTGACTGATTGATTGATTGACTGACTGGCTGACTGACTGACTGACTGGCTGACTGACTGATTGACTGATTGACTGATTGACTGATTGACTGATTGACTGATTGACTGATTGACTGATTGATTATTGATTGATTGATTGATTGATTGAATGATTGATTGACTGACTGACTGACTGACTAACTAACTGATTGATTGATTGATTGACTGACTGATTGACTGACTACCTGACTGATTGACTGACTGATTGACTGACTGACTGATTGACTGACTGACTGATTGACTGACTGACTAACTGATTGACTGACTGATTGACTGACTACCTGACTGATTGACTGACTGATTGACTGACTGACTGATTGACTGACTTACTGACTGACTGACTGACTGACTGATTGACTGACTGACTGACTGATTGACAGACTGACTGATTGACCGACTGACTGATTGACTGACTGACTGACTGACTGATTGGCTGACTGATTGATTTACTGACTGACTGACTGCCCGACTGACTGACTGAGTGACTGACTGACTAATTGATAGATCGATTGATTGGTTGATTGATTGATCATAGAGTGAGAGAAATAAGTTGAATTGGAGTACCACATAATGGTGCACAAAACTACATTGAATAATTAATTGTCAAAATGCAATCTACCAAAGAACCAGAGTACTCCAGAGGTTGAAACCAGCCTAAAAAAAGAAAAAAAAGGAAAGGAAAAAAACAGCAGCGAAGAAGAAAGAGTTAAAATAACAGACGTTCACCTCTAGCTACAATATGTTAAATAAAAGAAAGAGGGCTTGTGGCTTGTTTTTTTGTTTTTTTTGAAGAGGGAGTTTTTTATTTATTTTGAAGTAAAATGCCCGTGTCGTATGCAATTTCCCTAAAAAACGGTTTTCATCCTTCCGTTACCACGTTAGGTTCATCCGTAGCTATGATAAGAGCTACAGACAATGAAAATGATCCCATGGTCTTCTCGCTGGATTCCTCGGTTCAGGATCTGCTCCAGATTGACAACACTGGTAATTTGACACTTCAAAAAGAACTCGACAGAGAGGTGAGTTGGCAAATGACAATTACTTTGCCAAGGATGAAGCAAATTGCGCGAGAAATCGGTGAAATGGCCGTGCACCGGTTTGTTGATCAAAATCTGGAGACAGCGCAGTTTAGTCGCCATTAGTCCTTTTATTCTGTTAAAGAGGCATTTGTGTACACCGGCTTAGCCTGCGTTGCTGGCGTTTTTTGCGTGTTCGCGAGTTATGGGTATTACCTGGCGATCGAGTAGATTGGCCGCCCTGTTTGCTTTGGCCTCGCTCCTAGCTACTCCCCCGCCCGCCTCTTCGTCTCTCCCCAAGCGTCGTCAGGGTTTCAGTCAAAGATGATTCTTTTCGCCAAAATACCCCTGTATTGCGGGCTAGCACCGCTTTATATTTCTTAGTGTTTCTCGACCAAATTTAACACACCACTATTTTGCTAGACACACTGCTTATCACAAATACACGGCACTGACTATAACGGTATGGGGAACCTATGTCCATAAAACAACCCATAAGTTGACTCAAACTTGGTGGACACATTTAGTTAATACAATAAATGGTTTGAACCCAGGAGTATCAGTAGTTCGTATAGTGTGATCGTCCGGGTGAGTGTAGTTCTGAAAAGAACTGTTGTTGGTGACTGACGTTTC